TGTGCATCAGAGAGAAGATTTATGGCAGCAAAATCCGTCACAAACTGGACTAACTTAATAAAGTATGAAGGAGCTCTTTTTCTGCTCAAAGTGAGTAATTCCTTTGGTCAAGGAGCATGTGGTTCTGTGCTGCTACTACGCTGCTGTCAGGTGCTCCCCCTGCTGACGCCACACAGTCAGGAGGTACAGTACCTGCAGCAGGACACAGCATGATTTCCTTTCATCTCCATCCTATATGTTCAGTTCTCACAGAGTAAAGGTGCCACGGTGCAGCAGCTGATCCTCTTGCAGGGGCCTTGCAGCATGAAGACGCTTTCTATCTCTGATGAAAGATCTTTTTCAGATGGAAATACATCTTCACTTGATTCAAATCCAAAAATACTTCAATGGATAAACACATTATCCTGAAAAATTTTTGAGCCAAAAAAAAAATAAAAGGAAGATTATTTAAAAAGGTTCGGCTTTCAGAGGATGCTGTGCGTAGTTTTGAAAGAGAGGGGGAAATAATGGCGGAATTAAAAAACGGTTATTTATTTTTACTTTGCAGCTCAACCCTGACCACCTGCTAAAGGAAAACATCCCACAGATGATCTGCAGTGTTATACTTCACACAGAAGTTGGGTTAAAGTTTAGTAAAATTTCAGTCTCATCTGAGAAGGTCTTCTTCTGTCATGTGTTTGCTGGTCTGCATAGCTTGTGGTGAATTTTTACTGCTACGAGCGAACTAAATGTAAGGAAAATGTTCTTCAATCAAATGTATTTGTTCTTGGTTTGAGTATGTAACTAAAACGATCTGCCAATGGAAGTCGATTTCTACTCTTAAACAATATAACATCTTTTTTTATTTTGTTTCAAGTGCAGCAGATCTAATTATTTTAGAAGCCAAATGTACTGCACTGCAAAAACGACCTATAAATAAGTAAATATTTCTTATATTAAGTGGATTTACCCTTAATCCCTTAATTTGAGCAGGTAAATAAGATGATTTGCAAATGGAATGAGATTTTTACCCTTTAAATAAGATAATTAGATAATATGCACTGAAAATAAGAAAATACAAATGTTTTTTTTTCTTATTTTAAATGTAAACTGTCTTGTTCTAATTGCAAAGATTCTCACTCAATTCTCACAATTCAAGAAGAATTCCCTTATTTTAAGAAAAAAAAGACTTATTTAGATGTTTTAGATTAGATTTTTTTCCAGTTTGATTCCAGGGCAGATAATTTCATTAAAAATAGCCAAATGTTCGGGGATGTCAGACTTAAAGTTTACCAGCTAGATGTTTTAAGCTTTTATGTGCTTAAACTTCTCGATAACTCCCTGCCCCTCTGACCCATCAGCAGCCATCTTCCCTTTCTTACTTCTGTTTTTTTCCCCACTAATGTTCTCTAACAAACATCAGGCCATCAGAGAACAGCTGGAGTTCTGTTATACTCTGGTTTATTTTTTTTTTTGTATCAGAGTGAAAAAGGGAGTTAAATTCAAACTCAGGACACACTTTTCAGATTGTGATGATCTATAACAAGGTCTTCTAAAGTGGGGTCAGGACCCTCAGGGGGTCTTGAGACTCAATCGTTTTGATACAATCCTTAAGGTACACAGAGGGACAGGATATATATATATACAAATGTAAATGAAATGAATAAATGTACCACCATATAACTGTAAAATGCACAATTAAATGTACTATTAAATATCTAATATGGCTTTTTAAACGATTAACTAAAATTAAAGTAATTTAAAGTTTTCTCAAATTAAATATAATACCTTCCCTTTAATACACAGACATATGGAGCTGGAAAATGACAATATATAGAAAAGCTAATATCATCTATTATCATTCAGGCATGAATACATTACATAATGCATCCAGAAATACTTTGTTTTAACATTTTAAACATTCACAGAGCAACACATATCAGGCCTGAAAGTTGTACCCAAGAAACAATTCTCGGTCAACACGTTAAAGTGCAACGCTGGAAAATCTGGACACTTCAGCAGGCCTACAAGAAGTCAGCAACCAATCAAAACCTTTACATTTGTCTCTGTGCCCCAACAGCACAACCCCTCCAGTATCTGCAGTCTGGAGGCAGGATGGTCTCTTTCCTTCAGTCCTCTCTCAGTCTTCAGGGTAAAAAAAGAAAAATGCTGATTCTAATGTTTTCAATCTTTGCTGCCTCTGAATGTAGTTGTAGCTTAATGTTGAGCAGCAGAGCACTGCAGGCCTCTTCCACTGACCTTCTCCACCCTTTCAGATGAAAACCTGCTTGAGAAAAAGCTTCATCTAAAAAGCAGAGCTTGGTGATTTAAGATTTGGGCACAGATGGGAAATCATCCAGTGGCATTGCAGCCATTGTCGTCATGAGGTCATAGTTTTAGGATTTCTAAATTACAGAGGCGCTGACAGGTCGTTGATCGTCTTATTTTATAAGTCTGGGTTTCTACCATGACTTTAATGTCTGAGGAACAATAACTAGTCTTACTTGATCTCTGGTTTTATTTCAGTAAACCAGCATGTGCGATATTTAAAGAACTTAATGAATATCTTTTTGATTTGGTGGTGCTTATCTAAGAACAGGGGTTTTATAATCATTCTAATATCATTGTAAATAATTCCAGTTTTACAATTAAATGTCTGATGTGATTAAACTAACTAATGTTTCGTTTTCTCTAAAACATCTTTTTCACATCGCTCTCAGCCATGTTTTATGCTGCAGTGCATCTGTGCTTTGATTGCATTCTAGTTAGTTGTGAAATCTAGTAGACGCTCAAACATGGTGAAAGTGATTTTCAGCTCAGTACCTTCTATATAATCCACCAAGCTGCACAGAGAGGCAAAAGAAGGCTGAGAGTCAGAATGAGTCTTGTGCACCAGTTTGGATGTGGTGGGTTTCTAGCACCCTCTACTGGACAAACTGAGTAAATGATAAAGCAACCTTATCCGTTCTTCAGATGTGAGAAAAATGAATCATTAAATCTATTTTTCTTGTATGATTTAAAAAGGATGCAAGACAAAAACTTAAACAATTGGAAATTTATTTATGTATTAAATATAAATAATTATTTAACCCTGTTGATTTTGGATTTCGTTCCAAAATAGATAAGACTACCAATTAAAAAAAGTCACATGCTGGATAACTACATTAGCAATTGGGTTAAGATTACTACCTTATAATAAGGTCCGAATGGAGAGAGGCGACAGACAGGAAAAAATAGACTGAAACCTGACATGAAAACTGAACAACTTCCCTTCTTGATTAAAAATATTAACAAAACAGAGGGTTTGGGGCAACAAAAGAAAAAGCACACACCATGGGGAAAGCCAGCATAACATCACCAAGGACAGGATGATCTGATGATGACTGGATAGAACCAAAAATCAAAGCAGGAAGGAGGATATCGCAGGAAAAAAAGACCCAGGAAGTGATTACCTGATGCAGAAGAAGAGCTGTGACTGCAGCAGGCAGAACAGATACCAATGGAAGCTAATGGAAGATGTATGATATATATCCACCATCTGCAATTTAGAGAACTGAAGCCTTATTCCGATACAGATCAGCTATAAAAACCGGGGAAAGAAAAGCTCTAACTCAACGCTATTCCTGACATTTTGAATTGAAAAAGTTTCCTGGATGGGAAGCGAAACATCTTCAAACTTGGAAACAAAGTCCAATGGATTGTTTTTAATTTTTTTTCGAAATGACTATGACCTGGATGACTGAGAACCTTCACCAGCAACCTGATCTGTTCCCCCAGTTTTCCCTTTGCTCCATCCTCTCCAGTATAATTCTACTTCTATCACCCTGAGTTATAGGCAGCATTGGTCTCTTTCGCAGTTTTTTTTTGCAGTACGGTGTGTAATAATTACTGGGATTTACTGACAATAATGTCATGTATTATCTATATGTATGTTATTTATTATCACTTATGGACTGAAGGTCTCAATCTTTATGTCTGCCTTGCCTTAGAAATTGCTATTTATGATTACAAATGAG